AACAAAAAACCAAACAACACAATAAATCTTCAAAAGTGATACGAAACCTTGAGTTCGGTAAGGGTCACATCTGCATGAATATCCAGAAAAGCAGCAGCCCCACAGAACAAAACAGCCAAAAGAGTGAGGGCAGAGGGAGTAGAGTGAGCCACACTTTCAGTACTGTGGGGGCACAAAATGTTCCTTCCCCAGCGAGAGAGTGGCACGTCAGAGAAGTGGAGCTCATAGGGCCCTCTGCACTACTAGGGTGGCGTGTCTACCAGGTTGGCAGAACCTCACTGTGCTGAACAAGGAAGAGTGAGCTGGAATAAAGGCGGGAACAGGAATGAAGAAGGGATTGCCACGGCTGGGTACAGTGGCCCCTATGTGTAATACCAGCTCTCTAAGTGGCTGAGGTAGGGGATCACAAGGTCAAGGCCAGCCTGGGCAAGTTAGAGAGATTCTGGCAAAGATTTTTTTTGAAACAAGGTCTCCCTAGATAGTTCAGAACGTACTACATAGCTCAGGCTGGCCTCAAATTTGCAGCAATCCTTCTGCCTTAGCCTCCAGAATGCTGGGATACAGGCATGAACTACCACGCCTGGTGCAAAATAAAAAATTTTAAAGGGGCTGGTGGAGCAGATGAATAGCAGAGCCCTTGCCTAGCATGTGCAAGGCGCTGAGGTCAAGCCCCAGTACCACGGTGAGGGGGTGGAGATGAGAAATCAGGAAGCAGAGAGGGGAAGCTCAGGAAGTGCGCACCTTTTTTTCCTACAAGGTGGTGAGCAAGGTTTTGTGCCCAGCATGGGAAGTGGTCAAGATTGCATGGAGACCCAGGGAGGGAACTGCTTCAGAGACCACAAAGATACGCTCAGGCAAGACTTCGAGACTCCAGCTGAGGCTGGCACCAACAATCTCCAGCGCTGCATGGTTTCTCCACAACACAGGGCTAGGACAGCAGGAATGATGTCAGCTGTCATCTGCATAGTGGGGCCTGCCCAACAAGGAAGAATAAAACTCCAAGTGCTGGTAAGAAAACAGCCGAAGTGCTGCTGGGTGTGGTGGAAGCACACCTGTAATCCCAGCAATCAGGAGGCAGGGCAGGAGGATCACTGTGAGTTCTGGACTACACAGCAAGGCCCTGTCTCAAAAAAAAAAAAGGAAAGAAAGTAGCTGAAGCAACATGTGCCAGAGATCACAGTTTGAAAAAGAAGGAACCACAGTGACATCTGGAAATGACTGAAGGCCTAGGAGGCTTGAAGGGGAGAACACAGGCAAGGTGAATAAGAAAGTCAGAGCTGTAAATTATCAGAGTTTAAGATCAGAAGGTGAATCCAATCAGAAAGTGACAATATGGCAGGAGATGTGGCACAACACCGAGTTACTCAACAGGACCAGGCCAAGGTTTGCCTGAGCAGAATCGTTCTCGCCAAGCTCAGCACAGTGCTTACTAACTACTTCTATCAATCTTAGGGAAGTTCCTTAGTTTCTGACTCAGTTTCTTCATCTGAAAAAATGGGGAGAATAGGATCTGCTTTACATGACTGTCCACAGATTAAATTACTTAATACATACAAAGTGCGTAGAGCAGAGCCTGACACATATAAAGTACTTAAGATGAGTAAGCCATTATGTGTATCATCACTGTGCTTGCTGTTGTTATTTACGCACTGACGTCTGCCAAACTGATGTCAAAACTTTAGATGGGAGCTGGGGAAGCTCAGTGGTAGAGCACTTGCCTAGCATGTACAAGCCCAGGGTCTGACTCCTAGCCCTGCCTAAACAAATAAATACACTGGCTAAAAGGGAAAACTAAGCAAAGAATCAAAGTTGCCAAAGAGGGCAATGGTGGAGGACATATAGCTGAACAACATGCTTTGCTGTAAACAACATGATATTAAATATAAAAAAATTAAATCCATCAGACATTTACAGTCATAGGACTTGAAATATACATATACACATGTAATTCACAAGATAGTCATAAATGTATCAACTATTAGATAATAAAAAGTACTGTATTACAACGGACAATAAAGTTCTACCTGAAAATCATGGAAGCTACCATGGCATGGGCAACTGCAATGACAGGAGTGAGTTGGCCTTATCCCACCACACTCACACCACAAAGTTTAAGGTCCTTGAGGATAAAGAACTAAATACCCATTCTGGCAATAACTGTAACAAAAGTAAGCAAAATCAATCACCGTGCTGCTGACCAAAGAGCCCAACTTCAGAGAAGCCCAAGATCCCACTGTGGGGCTTTCCTATCAGTCACACCTGCTTATCTTTTAGCACGCATTTTGAAAAGTTCTAGAAGTATCACATCTATTTATTTTCTTTTATGAAGCCCAGAAGCTCACCACTATCTATTCAAACAAGGCCCTCTTTCAAAGAGAACTGCATGAAGTAAGCATGACACACCTTTAGCATCAGAAGTTGTGAATTTTCACCTGCTTGCAAGACCACAGAGCTACACTCACTCCTGGAAAAAGACCTGCTGTAATAAGCAGCCCTGGGGACAGGGCAAGGGCCCACTGCCGTCCTTTACTCTGTACACAGGACAAGGGCAGGACAGGAAAACTGGCCAAAAAGCTCTGGCCTTGGGAATGCTGTTGGCGGATTCCTGTGCACAAATTCCCTGCCCAAGTTCCAGGTGGGAAAGGCAGGAAAAAAAGGAAAACCACATTCAAATCTGTTCTTGAAAAGGAAAAAACTATTTGGAGAGAAAAAAGGAAAACCAAGTTCATATCTGATCTCGCAAAGGAAAACAGTGTCCTAAGCATCAGAAGCAGAACATAATAAGGTAAATTCTGAAAAAACATTCATCAGTGCACAGCTGCTTGGGCTCATAAAAATCTAACCTCTACATCAGATTCACAATGTTCAGATCTGATTTTGCCAAATGATGAAATTATATTTACCCACAGTTCTTTGGATCTTCACGTAAGCAAAGTAACTCTAAATATTAAAAACCTAGAAATATTTATTCTGTAATTCTCTCTTATTAATGTATGCAAAAAATACTATTTCCTGTTGAAGCCATTTGATTCAAGCATGCTTTAAAGGGAATAATCGTAAATATTACAGAATACAGCGTTCAGACCTAAGAAAGTACACAGGAAAATGCTTAACTAGTTCACCTTAAGAAGTTGTTAGAATTGATCGTTAAGCGGGCGCTATGGGCTGGGAATGCAGCTCAGTGGGAGAACGTTTGCTTAGTGGGTTTCATCCCCAGCACCACAAAGCCAGGAGGAGAAATGGAGTCCGAACTAAAGCAAAGGAAGAACACAAAGGGAACAAAGTATGCCATCACTCCGGGCCCCTCCATGTCTGGGATGCGGGAAAAGGCAGATTTACAGGCTCACAGGAAACCAGCTGTTGACCGTTCCCCCTTCTGCACCACGCCAACCTAGGGGCAGCCCTCACACTCCTTCCTCAAAGCGGACACTGACAGCCTCGGTTTATAATTCAACCACACGCCTGCCTGGCAAGCGCAAGGTCGTGAGTTCGATTCCCGGTACAGGGGAAAAAAAAAAAAAATGAGACCTTATAATCCAACCACAATACCAGCAAAATTAGAAAACACCACCTCACTTCTTAGAGGAGAACATGCACTAGCGTTTCATTATGACTAAGCCAAGCAGACAAAATGCCAGCCTTTAAATAAAGCCTCCACCATGATATCACTTTTTAAGTTACTCACACCCGATCAGCACACTTCCATCGGGCTCAGACACACCGTGACACAAAGCCGCGTGTTCCGTGTTGGCACGGCGGCTGCCCGGAGCGGCAAGAGATTTATGAGCAAGGGATCTGTTGACAGTCTAATTTCAGCTACCTCCAGATTCCATAAAGATGACAACCTGCGTCCTCAGAGATTCTGCTGCAGGCCTCCCCCACCAACAGAACCTTCCAGTTCACTTAATCTCCGCACCCTGAGCTACCCTGCAAACACGTCCATCCAACGCGATGCGATGCGAAGCGATAACCGGAGGCCTCCATGCTGCCCAAGGGGCCTCGCAGCAATCTCAGCCGGCCTCTGCGCATGGGAGGCACCGACAGGCCTCCCTCCGCACTGGACGCACAAGGCGGGGACAGAAACAATGAACGCAGAATTCGGTCGCCACGAGAATGCAGCCCCGACGGCGGCTCCCTTTGGAGGCTCGTTTGAGCAATCCCACCCGAGGAGAAGAAGCGATCGCGCGCTCCGGGCTGGCTCTGCGGCCGGGGACGCTTTGCGTGGCGCGAACAATGACTGGCTCGCTCGGGCGGCCTCCCCACCCCCACCACTTGGCTTCTGGTGCGGCCGGTCACCCTGCGCGCTGCCAGGGGCTGTCACTCGGTGCCTTCCAGCAACCGGACCTGGCTCCTGAAGGATTTGTCAGCTCATCCTCCCAATATGGCTGCCGCGATCCCGGCGGCTCGGCGCGGGCCACACCAGCTCCCGCGCAGCTGGCGGCCGGCCAGGGACCCCCTCCCCGTCCTCGCCGTCGCGCCCTCTGGGCGGCCGCT